TCAACAACGACCATTCGGATAGCCGTCAAGTCAAGTCAAGTCAAGTCATGGGTCGTGGTGCTAGGCTAGCAGACTTGTGAGACGAGGACGGGGGACCATCCTAGCATTGTGGCGCCAAGGAAGCCTGCACTGAAGAATTCGAGAAGCAGACGAGCCAAGCCTGTCCATTGTTTTGCCGGCAGTTTCGAGCAACGGTTCGCCCTTGCTGGTTAGCATGACGGGTTGGTGTAGATCATGGCGTTGAGAGCCCCGTCCGAACCATGATCTCCACAAGGGGATAAATTGTCCGTACCAGGGTCAAGGAATTCCATTGCTGAGAGATCCAGGCCAGCCAGGGTACCTCAGGATAGTCGGTCCAGCCTCCAGACGAATACTGAAATCAGTATCTGGATGGATAATTCATCCCACAACAGTAGTCGTGCCCCTTTTTTAAAACCGTCCTTGCTCGGTGAGGGTCGCCGAGAGGCGCAGCGGCATGTTACCTGCAAGTTGACACATACTCCATTGCGGGAAAACTTCCTTCAGGGGTTTCGGCCGCCTAATAAGCTTCCTGAACATGGTTGTGTCACAAACCTAGACAGTCTGGGGTGTCACTCATGCTGGCAGAATGAGAATTGGCAGGTATGAGACCGCTGCGGCAGCATTGGAGCAGCTGAGCCTGGGACGCGCACAAGCATATGATAAATATGTCTCAAACCGGGAGATGCCGAGGCCAGGCCAGGCACTGGGACAGGATGAGTGAGAACAGATCCAAGTTACTATTCTAGGTGGCCTCTTACAGCAAGACATGAAAGTTCATCTTTGGTCAAGCAAGATAAGACGAAAAGAAGAAAGACAGGGACGATACTCCGCATGGCCCCCGCCGCCGCCACAGGCACTCGGCCACGCTGTTGACGTCGTCCCGTCGGCTGCTGTGCCCGTGTCCATTGATACTGAGAGGATCGTTCTTCGAAACAAGTTGTGGGCTATGCTGCGAGACTGTGCCGTCAGCAAGGCAGCGTCTCCGAGGATATAGCTGGCAACTGTTGATTGAGATGTGACTTGACAGAGGATGTTTGGGCGATCACTAAGGTAGCTGTTGTTTGGGCTTATGTGTTGATAGATGTTGCGCATAAGGCGGCTACGTAGAGCTGTGCCCAGATAAGGCGAATGGGATGATGCTGGCTAGTACGTGCCTAGTGATCCCGGACCGATCGCGTTACATTGGCCGATGCATTGTTAGTCGACGACCCAGTTGTTCTTGCTGTTGTTGTTGTCGTTGTTGTTGAAATTGGGGTGCGTTCCCGACATTTGTCTATTGGCTTGCTATTGTTGAGAGGCACATACGTATGCAGCTTGCTGGGCGGGTCAAGCACAAATGTGTTGATTGGGCGCATGCAAGAAACACAAACGGCGTGGTGTTCTTCTTCACTGTGGGCCCCCAGATGGTGTTGAACACATACCTAAGCCGAGCTAATAAGCTAGGTAAGGTACCTAGAACCCTGAAGTTTTAGCCTCAATCTGGACTGACTGCCTGCATTGCCAGCGGAGAAAGACGAGAGTTAAGAATACCTTGCCTAGCTTGCCTACCTTACCTAAGTAGACTAAGGGAGCCAGGGGGTCGCAAGCTGTTCCAAGTCGGGATAGCATGCCCCACGCCATCTGCTCGCGACGTCGCAGCACGATAGAGATACAGACGTAGGCCCAGAAAATCGTGGATGGGAAGGGGTTCTGCTCACGGAAGAGGCTCAATGGTCGAGCCACCAACCAGGAGCAAGGTTAAGCAGTTTCAGCTTTCAGCCGAGTCCGTGGGAAGCTATACCAAGAGGGAAATTGTATGCGCAGGCTTGAGCTGATTTAGCCGTCGTGATGGACGACAGCCGGCAGCCAGGGTAAATTGCTTGCAGGTGCTGTGTCGTATCTTCGGTCCGGCTTCTAATTGTCTAGCATTCTATTGTTAGATGGTTGTAAGTGTGGTCAAGTCTTGGCGTATCTATCTGTAGGAGGGAGTGGATGAATGCAGCTAAAGATCTTTGGTTCCTGCAGCAGGACGACCTTGGATTCCGACGTGAAATGAGAACGATAGCGCAATAATATTTTAACTCTCACTATCCGTATGTAATGCCTATTCGATAATTAGGCACATTGCCTGTCAAGGTTGGTAATTAGGTAGCTGTTATGGTTACACACGACGAGATGACGAAGGTCCCGTCCCATTAGCCAGAATCAAAGGGCCGTCTCACTTCGATCAAAAGGCCTTTTTTCCAAAGTGAAAACTCAGCCAGAACAACTAGCAGCTGGATGAAAAGCTGTAAGAAGCATCATGAATCAGAAGCCAAGTCACTTGTTACTTAATCTGGCAAGGTTCTTGCTCGAGGAGCTTGTGCTAGAATAGGGCAATTGTCAAGTTAAATTGGGTGATCTCCAGAATCTCCATCTCTAATAATCTCTACCTCCACCTCCATCACACCTCACCACACCATACATGTACACAACCAGTTCCCCAGATGTTTCCAGCTATTCCATTCTTGAGATGGCGCAACCGCGTCAATTTGCTAGCGTGTAGCCACACCGAGCGGGCTGCTAGCACGGACAGGTGCTGATACACGCTTCGACTCATTATAGATCCGCGCTGGTTCAGCTCCAACATTTCGTCTCGTGTGTCAATTCGAATCTTGGTGGTTCTCAGCGTCAGGGGGTTGGTCCGTCTTCGAATAGACTATCCGTACAAGCATACGGAGTACATACACTCGCATTACGCCACCAACTTCTCAAACACGGACACCCCCCTTCTCCCCAGACCTGGGACATGTGCTGGTACATGGTTATGTACATACTCACTCACTGCATCGCGGAGAGACGGCTGTAAATAGACTAAACCGGGAGTTTGTTAGAGCCGGGACGAAGAGACGAAACGCCGCCAGAAGCGCGGTAGACTACGACTAGAATTTGTGGTTGCGGCGCTGGGTTTGACCCTCCAAATGCCTATCCCGTCCAAGTCCAAGTCCAAGCCTGCCCACCGCGGCTGCGCTGCCCGCAAAGCCCTGCCTCAAGTCATCTCCTCTCATCCAGTTTGATTGAGGTGAGCTGCATTGACAGTACGTAGCAGGTCCATCTTCGAAACGTCTCTGACACTTCTCGGAAAGTCGATCCGATGAGGAATCCTACATGCGAAGGAGACAGGGTTAATCAGCCAAGGTCAACATCCAGCCACTCAGCACCCCTGTTACACTCCGCCCGCATATGGTTCAACGTCCCGGCAAAGCATATCATGGTGTTGAACTTTGTTAGTTGCAGAATGGCTAACAAAGAAGCCATCCATGCCAATCCTGCTATGTGCTCTATCTTCTGTCATCATGGTAGGGGTTGTTTGACAGCTGACAATTTTTTTGTCTCTTCTCTTCTTTGCCTTTATTTGCAGATCCTCCAATGCCCCGCTTCCTCTGGGAAACAACCTTATGTACCTATCTAACTCAAGCCTCTGTTTTTTTTTTTTTTTTTTTTTTTTTTTTTTTTTTTTTTTTTTTTTCAAAATACCCCAGCATCCATTATCACCCACTAGTCTAATATCCTACATTCACACACATCCAGTTTGAAATCCTTGAATCCAAGAATTTCCCACGTTTCTGCTTCAACGGACCGAAGTCTAAGTAGCGCGTTCTGTCTATAAATACAGTCCCGGAATATACCCTGGACCCCCTTGGATCCAATTGAGTTTCCGAACAGTGGAAGCAACTACGGTTTCGCTTTTTACGGTTTCGCCTGTACTGTAAGTTGCCTTGATAGCAAACAGATTTGTCCAAATGTTAAATTCTCCCTACCGTGATGCATATAACGCACGACAACTTGACCTTGGATATTCTTTGTGAACAGTGACATGAGCTCGTGCCATTTGATTTACAACCTTCTCGACAGGAAAATGCAACTCAAGACCAGGCTCTTCATGCCGCCCACTTACTATGATCAGTCTCCCCAAACCGCGAAATACGATTTGCCCGTCGTGATATGACCTGACACTAATGCAGGTCCTTCCATCCACCGTCCTGGGCGTTGCCGGCTCCTTGCCCCGGGCTCGACTGCATCAAACAAAATGATCTCTAACCCTGGGCTCCAACGTGATGTGGGCACCACGCTAACTAAGGATCTGCAGGCAACTGAAGAGGTTGTTTCAGGTTGGGCACTGGAAAGCAACAACACCGAAGCTTTTGAGGCACATGCCCTCCAAAATAGCATCCGTGCCGCTCCTAGACACGCGCGATGCGGCTTGAGACATAAACAAATACTTACTAATAGTCGAGGGGTGGATTTCAATGTCCAAGCGTGGCTGACCCAGAGGCAGAAAATATCACGATTCCTGACTGTTAACCTTGACAGCAAGAATCACCGAAAACCCCCAACTTCAGGAACTCTCTCCATCACTATTAGCCTTTCTTTGGCACGTATTGCAAAGGTTTTCGCATCTTCATTGTATTTTAGGTTTAGTACGTCTTCATGGTTCGCACGAACCCTGGCCCTGGGAAATGTGTTTCATACCGGGGTTGCTGGCCTCTACGCACTATTAGACTATTTCAAGATCCGGGCGACTACGGAACAGTATCACGCTCACGCCTCTAGATAGACAAGTGTCCTCAAACGACATGCCACGGAAGATAATACAGTCGACAGTATGCAAATTTGCCAATTGCTACCTTGTCCCGTAGCCTCGATCCGTGGTCCTGCGCCTCACGGATTCATCAGAGGCCGTAAAGGGGCGCGTATCATCAGCAACGTAGATCAACTCATTACCACAGAACGCCGCCCAGTAGTTGATAAACTGCCGTTTTTTCAATGAGCAATCAGTAGAACAAAGAATCGAGGCCAGATGGTCCTTCACCCTACTGCATGCCACCTGATCCATGACATACATGTCAAGTCTCCAAGAAGTCATCAGAGGCCCAGAGTAAACTTCTCAGGGCTTCTGGTGATCAGCCGTCCCATCAGCTATAACTCCCAGGGATAAAGCTTGTTGATAAACCCACTTGCTAATCATAAAAACGAAGATCGGCAAATGTGGAAACCCCCCAAGATCGATCAACTGCAAACAACCTCACACCTGATTCCTCTCCAGCACCTGATTCCTCTCCAGCACCTGATTCCTCTCCAGCACCTGATTCCTCTCCAGCACCTGATTCCTCTCCAGCACCTGATTCCTCTCCAGCACCTGATTCCTCTCCAGCACCTGATTCCTCTCCAGCACCTGATTCCTCTCCAGCACCTGATTCCTCTCCAGCACCTGATTCCTCTCCAGCACCTGATTCCTCTCCAGCACCTGAACTTCGGTCTGCGCATTTGAGCAGACAGGGTTTGCACGATATTATAAACGCCGACATTACAAATTGAAGCAGGAGGAGGGGGAGCTGAGGAGTCAAGAAACAGCTCTAGCCCCTCGAGATGGGTGTTGATCCAAGCTTCACACTCCGTGGGCTGCATATGTGCGGTTCCAGCGGCTTCCTGTGGGTAAACAGTTCCAAGGAAGTTCAGGTCATCCATTAGAAAGGGGCGGATGTTCTCGATCTCGTTAGTTTCGGTCGTATCTCTTAGTTTTCTGGACAATGAAGAGCCACCCCTTCTCCTGAATTCGTTGTGCCCCCTCCCCTTTCCTTTCCTCGCCTCCCATTCAGACTCTTGGACAGCATTGCAGTAGGGCTACTCCGTAGAGGATCTCTAAGAGGATACAGTGAGGCGGTTACTGCTTTGATGTCTTTGGGAGCGGAATGCCACAATGGCGATGTGTCTGTCGGCCAAGTTTGGGTCTCTCATCACTCACCACTGATGTCGTCAGCGTCCTGCGGCCAGTTTTTTGTCCGCAAAGCAATGTTAAACGCAAGCAGCCTGCTTCTTCAGCCTTGCTAACTTTGCTAGTTGGCAATAACGGATAGTTCAAGTCTGGTCGCATGTGCGCGTTTGTTACGTGAAGTCAATTTTCCCCTGCCACATGCCCACTCTTGTCATCCGATTCAGCTTTTCCATGGCATGGAACTTCCCTGTGGGACACTGGGGACCGTTTGCATAATGAGATGAGTCGAAGCAAGCGAGCTTTTGCTCCTTTGACAGGGACGGAGAGTAATGGCCTGGACGACAAGAAGTTGGGTTCCAGGACAGCGGGCGATTTTCATTGTGTTTCATCAGAGTATCGATTCGTCTTTCGTTTGTTTCAAGAGGGTCGGCGCCGTAGTCAGGCGGGAGGAAAGCCGTTCGCCTACAAGTCCCGGTCGTTAACGCATGGCACATATATGCTTGATCGCTCGATACGAGATTGAAACAATATACCTTGCTCATATCTACCTGATCTAATGCAGTTATATTCGTATGCTTAAAATCAACTTGTGTCCGCGACATAACCGAACATGACCCGCTCTCTGCACCAAAAATGCAATCATAGACAGGAAAGGGATATGATATTTTGCACATCAGATATGAGTAGATAGTTTGAAAATCGTATGCTAGATTGCTTAGGAGTTCATTATAAAGCCATGCAATTGACTAGTGAACGTGAACCAATGGAGTGTCACGTATGATGTATCCCCTAGGGAAGTCCACAGCCGACTTCTATAGCCTCGAAGATGAATTTACCAGGAGAATATACATATGCCCTCGGGTGTTTCATTCAGACTGCTTTCAAAGAGCTCTCGACCCAATCAACACCACAGTAGCTCCCTCAACATGACTCTTCTCAAGAGAGGACAGGTTCAGTCTCGAAGTGGGAAGCCATGATACCAACCACTTGATGCATCACCATCACGAAAACAACGACTTCATGGCTGCAAACACCAGAATAACAAGCAAAAAAAGACATACAACAGCAGGTATTCGCTGGTCGTCACCGACCCAACTACTAATCCGCCCCTTGCAGGCTTGACTATGGGAGAGCGGACGTGATCCCGTATTCTACTGCAGGTATGGTCGTATGTGCTAACAGAGCGCCCTGGTTCAGTTCATGAACACAGAAGATTCATCTCCTTCCAGAGACTGATAATATATATACATGTGGGAGTTACGAAAGAACCGGTTGTATTATAGCAGCAGCTCCATTCTAAAACGGCTGGTCGGTCTTTGAGGTTGCTGTATATACCTGCCCGCAAAGGCGACAAGATACATTGTTGAAACCTAACCACTTGTCAAACAACTGAGAGATGTGTCATTTCACCGGTGTTCCCGCTCTCAGATATGCCCCAATCACACGCCACTGTCCAAACCTGCCCATCCAACATAATATCCCATACGGGCTGTCCCACATCAACAACGCTCCCAAGGATCACCGGCATCCTCGGGCCAAGGCCTGTCAACCTACCTTCGCCTGCAAGCAGGTATCTACCCTCTTCAGATGCACCGGTCCGCGCTTTGACTAGGTACATTCGCCGACCTGGTCGAATTTCCTCGATAATCACTTTCTTGGTCAGAGTTGTCGCTGGTGCTGCACCTTCCCAGCCCTTGAATTCAGAGAGCCAGCCTTGGAGGTCAGCTGCTAGGCCACCAGCAATGTATTTGGCCCCTCGGCGTTGGGGCGAGAATGCTGCGGGTAGACCATCTACTGCGGGATCGAGGTCAACAGGCTTGAAGCGCGGTGGCGCGTGAAAGGTTGGTTGCTGAAGCGGTTTTAACTCATTGTTGAGATTGATGGCATCCTGGATACTCTGTGTAGACTCTCCTGATGGAGTAAGGCCACTTTTGTAAGCCTCTTCTGGGGATTCGTTGTCTGGGTTGCGTTGCTCTTCTGGTGTGCTAGATTCTCTCCGAGGTGAACTCGATACCCTTCGCCGTTTCGGTTCCCGCTCTTCCAATGATGGAGAATCGTAATGCGAAGGTGTAGAGTTAGACACCTCAAGGTCCACAGAGTCTTGAAGAACATCATCTGGTTCGTTATCTGAGATGACTATGTTGCCACCTTGTGACGCAGTGGCATCATCAGACTCAATTTCGATGGAGTCATGAATTGAGTCGTGCTTTCTAAGCTGAACTTGAGGTTCGTCACTCCCTGGAAGGGTTTCTTGCGAATTGTCTCCTACTTCTTCAACGTCTTCAATATCTATGCCGGCTCTTGCCTGTGTCGGTCTCGGAACAGAAGAGGGGGCAAATCGAGGAGTTGACTGGAAACGCGGCAACGTCGCAGGATTTTGCGATGATTGCGTGCCCCGTTTTGGTAAAAGAAACCTTTTAGGCGTAGGTGTCTGGTTTTATTAGGTCAAAACGTAATCTCTGCATTGATGAAATCTTACACTTGGAGGGGGGCTCATGGTATAGGGTGAGTGCACATGACCGCTGTACAACGCAACACACTTGCCATGGAGATATTGCTTGTTTAGAATACCTTATCGTCTCAAGTCAGTATGAGTCCTTGACCACACAGAATCAATAATGACTTTTACTGTCTCAATGGTGAAATACTGTGAAATATCGCTGAGGATGAAGATGTGACGTTCATGACTAGAGGCAACGGTAAAAGCTCGGGCCAAGGACTGCGGCATCAAACATTCTGATGAACCAACTCCAACACTGAATAGGTACCCAAGTGCCTTAGGTCAAGGTAAGGTAGCTCTTAATTCTTGACGGGGAATGACGAGGACGGGCACAGCAAGGCACGTCACAGCATCACAAGCAATAGCAGATTCCCGGCTGGCTAGTTCTTGGTCCGTCTTGCAGCTTAATTACCTCTACTAAAAGAACGCCGAATTCACACGCTGGAACTGACGTACTTTGGTGTTTTGTTTGATACATGTCAAAATTAGGCACTCCAAACTCCTGACACCCAAATGCGCATTTCTCAAGCCCCCCCTATATCTAATACATGATACAACAGGGTCCTTGAGTGTAATCGCATACATGCGGCACTAAAAGGACACGACAGATCCAAGGACGAGAAGCAATGATATCCAGTGATATAGCATGTCTGATTAGCCTGCCTATGAAGCAAGTCTTTGCTAAAGGCGATAGTATAAGCTTACCCGTAAGCTAACTCAAAGGTAGTTTCATGATTATCACTGGTTGGCTCCGTATTCTTGACTTGGTGAAGCATAATTGGGGGTAAGCATGGCCGTCCGTGCTTCTCTTCCCACTGCGGGCCACCGATACCTGTATCATGCCAGCCCATCCAATTGTTGTACAGCCGGTTGGGAGGTATCGCCCGGTAGTACCAAGTGGAACCAATATATCTTCGCTCTCGTCCCCAGCCCATAGGGCTTCCGCGGCCGCCACATTCTCCATTCTCGCCAGGGTTGAACCACTTGTTGAGAAATTTGCCCTTCCAGTCACGGTCCATGAAAACCGGATGAGGAGCATAGACTGCCTTGAGGCCGTGTAGGAGAGCGACTGTTTGTGGCGTCATCTCGGAAGCGACATGGTTGCCACGAAGATTCTCAACGTGCATGATGTTCAGTAGCTTCTTCGACACTCGAGACTGAGTGACGATTGTGGTTCGCCTGGGAATATCTTGCGACTTGTGAGTTGAGTCATTGTAGCCCCAAACTTGATTAGCAATAACCCAGTTGCTGTTAATAGGGTTGAACATGGGAGAGACAGTGACAACATCGGCCTCTTCACCAACCCCCCATTCGTAGTTGTCCTGGCTGGGACTCGAAACAGGAGGCTTGGGCCCAATGGGATTGATAAAAGAAAATTCAGGGGCGCCCCAAATAGTATTGTCGCCGTACCGTTTCTCAATGTCCTGGCGAAACTCGTCGTCATAACCTCCGTGGAATGTCGGGATATACCATCGCTCGTTTCTCTCCCACATGCCTTTTCGAGGCTGCTTCTTGGCGAATTCTCCAAGCTTATCCAAGAGGTGGTAGTGATGACCAGTGAACCGGAAATCCATCTCCCAGTTCCAGACAAAATCGAACTGCGGGTAGTCCTGACTAAATTTCTGGACAGAAAGCCACTGTGCAGTATGGACGTTCTTCGATTCGGGGTCTGTCAATTTTGGATAGAGCTTCCAAACAATGTCATCATTCCAGAGAATTGTCATACTGCGGAACTCAGGAGGAACGCTCTGCGAGAGGACAGTCTGGTAGACATCGTCGTCCTCAAAGATGCGGAGGTTTGTATCCTTGACTTGCACAAGCAGAAAGACCTCGTACTGGCCGCCTGTCTTTAGAGACAGTTCAGATATTAGTGAACGAATATTCTGTTTGTCGTTTTCTGTGTAGTCCTTGCCAGTGTAAGATCGAAGAAGGATAGCAGTTCGAGGCTCTGAAAAATAGCCGGTTGTTGGGTTCCTGGGGCTTCTTGGGTGTTTCTGTGGACTTGCGACCTGGCTGATAGCTTCAGGGTTGGTCAAGGCAGGCTGAATGCCTGGGTTCGTCGAGACTGGGGTACTCTTGGGTTCTGGCTCCAGAGGAGCTTCTCGCTTTGCCATTCGTGCCGGAGCAGGCTCTTGGACTTGTTGAGGCTCCTCCGGTAATTGTGGGCCAATGACCGTTTCAGGATACATGTTAAGGTATTCGTTGACACGCTCTCGGTTCATATCAAACCGCTGGGCATTTTTGTGGAGGCACATTCGTTGGAGGTCCCCCCAGTTGACGTTATCGAAGTTGAGTGGCTGCGGTTCGCCGCCAACCTTTTTGAATTGGCGATGCAGCCCATAGGGGCCAAGCCGAGTCTCACGCTCCCAGCAGAGGTTAGGATCCATATTCAAAGCATCGTAGCTACCAAATCGAGGCAGGGGCCATTCACGAGGCCGACCTTTGAATACAAGCAGATCCTCGACGGGTTCCCCAGTTGCGCCTTTGCAAGGAAAGTACTGGGCGTACCCGGCGTCTTTCCATGCGGCACTGTTGTACTTGGGGTAAGGGTCATAGCGAACCGGCTTTTCAGAGCTGTATTCTACGTCGGCATCTGGGTCAAACTTGAGATCAACGCTGAATTCTTCGGGCCGAGCCTCCTGGTTTTCCAAATTCGCCAAGGTCTTTCCATAGATGAGATTCGAGTGGGGGAAGCTGGGAACATGTTAGTCCATGTATGGATTTTGGATGTCAGCAATACTTACTTAGAAGTGACAGAATAAGCGTGTCTCCATTCTTTTCTCATATCCTTCTCATGTTGGAGCTTGCCCAGATCTCCAAAACCTCGGTCCTTTCCATCAGTCTCAAATCCAGGCTCGATATCATTGGGGTCCTCGCCATCGGTGGGATCGTGCCAGTCCTTGAGGTCCTGAGCCGTGAGTTCCCAGAGTTCTCGATGAATGGCGCCGTATTGATCTTCGGTATCAGGCTCTCCATTTCCAGTAGCGGGTGGCGGCGGCGAAGCTGGGACGTTTGAGTTGGAAGGGACCACCTGGATACTGGTGCTGGGCGCAAACAGGAGGTAGTAGGCAGCAAGCATAGCAAAGACAATTATTATCATAGATCTCGGCCGTAGCTTGGCGCCGAACAAGCGGCGGCTTTGCGGGTGCCATTTCTTCATGATGGTGATAGATCTTGAAGTTGGCTGGTCCAAGGAGCGAACAATTAGTTCGTTCTACTGGTGGAAGAGAATCGAAATTGGTGTCGAAATTGGGGACGAAGAAGGTCGGACAAGATCAGAGGTACATAGCTCAATAAGCTGAGGCGCTGAGACGAGTGTATTCGGTCGGGTCGATGCAAGGGATACAATTCATTAGGAGTAGGTAGTGTCGTCTACTAGTCGTTTGAATATCTGATCGCTCGGTCGCAAAGAAGTCCCCTTGAGGCCGATTGAAGGAGTGACGCGGCTTCTTTCAAAGATAGCCAAGGAAATTGAGAGGTCGAGAAGTGCAAACACGTGTAAATAATGCACAGATAGAAAAGAAAGCCAGGCGCTGCGTTTAGGAGAATGTTGCGTATGATAGAACGGAAGAAAGGGAGAGAACGAAACCTAAGGGAGAGTTCATGGAATGGGTGTGGATGAAGAGGCGTTGGATTGGATTGGGCTAACGATAGCCCGTGTACTGTAACTGGACTAAGGTTTCGATTTAGGGGTTGAGCGTAGCATGAAAGTGGCGTAACGTTGGTGCACCTAAGCGCTACGGTAGCACATTCGTACCCATAAGGTAATATTGTCAACCATTATATGGAAGTTCTCAGATTGGCAATACTAGCAGATTACTTTAAGGTAGATAGAAGCGAATTCAAGACATTCAATATTTAAGGGAGCAAGAAGGTTTTGTCTGGTATTTTTTTTTTCATTCATTTACTATAAGACTCATCCCCTTGATTGAACTTCTTGAATCCCTGGCAGTCAATCTTCATTTACCTATGGCTTCGCCTATCATTGATTGTCCAACCCTTACAGCCTTGAGGTTCTTATCTTTTGGTATGGAGGTCTATTGGAGCTGGGTCGGATACTCCTTATTGTGACTACATAATTAAGATTCTGTCGACTTCGACAGCCTTTGATGTGATGAATCTGTTTGTTTGGACTTTTTTCGGTTTTGATATCCTCATGTTATAAACTCATCATGCGGATGTAGCAAATGGCTCATTCATACAGTTACTAAAATGGCCATCCTGTTCCGCTTCAAATATTAGTTGCAGGAAATTATTATATCACACATAAAAGTTGAGGCCCTTACATCTACTTTGCCTGCGCCTGCGCCATGGGCTGCTTGTCCTTGCCCACCTATGGCTCGTAGTGGTGGAAGCTTCGTTGAAAAGGTTATAAATATTAAGCCTGAGCAACGCTCGACTCCAAACTCCGGGCCGAGTATGGCAGTATACAGTTTGGCCAACATTGTGACTTGCTCTTGAACAGATCTTGTCTAAAGTTGTAGCAAGAAGCAAGACTTGAAATACGTGGTATCTTGCGTCCCTTACCCCGGCCACCAAGTTCGGGGGAGTGTACACATGGTAGTGGGTGCTGCCAATGATTCCTAGCTCGTTTTGTGGCCTGGTGGGATATTGTCTATTGACAGCTGGCACACAAGAGGCTTTTGTCGATTCGACATTGTTCGGCTCTAAATCTTGTAATTTGAGCCCATGAAACACAGAAAGGCGCCTTCTGAGGACACAAATGTGATGTGGTGACCCATCAAACAGATCTACTCAAGGACCATATGCCACCAGACTCTACGTCCAATATTCGCGATGATGAACTTGAAAATGTGCTTCAATTATCAGTGAACTCTTATCGAGAATCACTATAATGCTACGATGCTGAAGCCTGTAATGCTCCATCTCCAACACCCCGTCCATACTCCAGACTTTTCCCTGAATGGCACCAAGAACAGGAGGCATAATCCCACCAATGCTGACGTCGTTGTTTTCAAGAAATGGGGCAAAGCTGTATGATGTTGTACAGAGTGCAGGGTGTTCTAAAACAAGGGGGTATAATAACAATAAAAAAGAGTGCTAGCCAACTCCCGGCATCTTAGTAATGAAATCAGAGCATGTTACGTTCTGTTCACACAAGTGATATTACAAATAAAGTAATGGTCCATGTATCATCGCTCAGGGTCGAGTTTCAATCAGGTCGTTACATCATGCCAAGTCGCGTGTTGCGCTTGTTCATTCGCGGTCGAGGACCAGAAGGTCCAGGAAGACCGGGTGCAAGCCGGTTCCCAGGGGGCGGCATGCCGTATGGAGGTCGTGGAAGCCCCATACCTGGTGCTGGGCCCATGCCTGGTCCCATCCGCTGGGCTGGATGGCCCGGAAGACCCATCATTGGAGGTCGTGAGCCGGACGGTGATCGCCCTGGGGGCGCCTTCATAGGAGGGTAAGGCTGTTGTACTCGGCGCCAGGCATCTCTTTCGCAGTATGATTTGCCGTCAACCTCAAAGTAACCATCAGAAAGAGATCGGCCACAGTCGAGACATCGAAAACATCCAATATGATATTTAATGGAAAATTCATCTTCCAAGTATTGCCCTTCAATCCCCTTCTCACAGCTTCCACAGAGACTGCCATTGAGTTTGTGATAATGGTGCTCGCAATATGGTTTGTCGTTGAGAACATAGAACTCAGCTGATGTGAATGGCTCGGAGCATGTTGTGCAGACGAAGCAAGCCTTGTGGTACTTGCCAGTCAATCTTCCATCTGCAGATGAGATGCTTTTGCCTGTGATAGCTAGGCCGCAAGCTTTGCAATTTCCGCGAGATCGAACGGGATCCTGGGATCCCTTTCGAACGGGAGGCGCATTGGGTGGAGGAAGTGTATGTGCACGCATTAATTCTGGGACCTTGTCGTAATGAATGTGATCCTGAGGCGAAGTTGCGTAAAGCGGTCTCGGTTGTGAATCGCTTCGCTGAAGTGGCATTTCGATTCGGCGTTCATCTTTAGTGGCAGAGCTGGGCCGTTCACCTCTGGGGGATAGTTCGAGGGGCGATTCTGCAAGAGGCGATCTTGTACGTGAAGGGGCCCGCAAAGGGGTTCCAGCTTGAGGATCCTTGGTCCCCAAAGCCTCCATTGAGCTCTCGAGGTCCTCCATCAGGCCATCCATAGCCGAGAGATCGGAGGGGTCACGTCGGGGAAGAGATTTTGACTGACTAGTTTGAGAACTGCCGTGGCTCTGGTGGCTGAAAGTGGAAAATCCAGAGGACGTCGAGTCTGACGGTGTGTGATAGGGGTTATTCACACCGAATTCGGCAGCGAGATCGACGGACCCTGAATATTTGCTAGATCTTGACGGGTGCAGGAGACTCTTGCGCGGCGGCGGGGCTCGCGAAGTATCAGGCCCCATGGATGGCTTGGACGCATGACCAAGGCCACCGGCTGCCTTGCGCTCAGGCTTCGTACCCGGTGCAGAAGGAGTTCGTAAGGGAGGTTCCGATCGAACACCCAGCTTGGGAAATGTGTCGGAGCGATTCATCATTCCCAAAGGCTGAGGCTGAAGTCTCGCTTCAGCTGTCGAAGGACGACCAAACCCTTCGTAATCATCTCTTGTCGGTCTTTGAGGCGGGGCGGACGGACTGCTGCTACTGTTATCTGTGGGGGATGCAGATCTGCGAGAATTAAAATAATCCTTTGGGGATGCACTCAGGAAGTCATCTGACTTGTCGCCGCCTTCGGTTATCTCTTTGGGAAAAGACGGTGACAGCGCTGAGGGACTGCGAATAGTATCAAATGGTCCTGGGGCGATCGTATCCATTCTCTTGAACAAGGTCGCGTTAACTCCTCCGTTGGGGCTGATAGAACGAGGCTGGAAGTCCGGCCCATGCTTCTTCTCGCCAAAGCCTCCATAAGCCCCAGGACGATCGACGGGGCGCGGCGATGGTAGAATCAAATCATCCTCATGTGGTGTTGGGACGTCATCAAAGAAGCACTCCATTTCGTTAACTGGCGATGTGCTGCGCGGCTCACTATTTGGTGTCAGTTGTCCCTGGCGCAGAAACGGATGGTCTACTGTGTTGTTAGCTGGCTTTATGTGCATTGGACAATAGCAACTTACTGGCGGCATTGACATCTAATGATGAAGGTATGCGCCCTGGTTTCTCAGGGGACGCTGGACTATATGGCGTGTACGCCTCATATCGTTCTGGTGGAGGGGAAACTTCAGGACGATTAGCTCGTTTCACTGGATCAAAGTAGCACTCATGATATTTTCTTACGTTCGGGCGCTGGTGGTGCACAAACATGGTCCCCCATCATAGAAATTTCCACCTCCCGATTACACGACGAGCATTTGATAGTCGGGAGGAACATGGATTCTCGTGGTATCGCCATGATGGCGGTGTGAGCTGATGTGCTGCTTGGGGCGGGCGGAGTCGAGTTTATTATGTGCCGCCTTTAAATGTAATTGAGTCGTCGCCGTGGTTTCTCTTGAAATGCCTGAAAGCGCCTTCGACAAAATGACGCACAAGAGATAATTGTGTGCCTTGTCGCGGTGGTTTCACTGGTGGTGTTCTAAGTGAGACCTTTTACATTCGTACCCCAGGCCCGTTCTGCTACCGGTGTCCCTGGGGTTGGTGAAGTAGATTGAGGATGCCAAATATCGGTGCGATTGCACTTGTTGATCGCATAAAGGCTGTCGTAGTGTCCAAAGAGGGCTTTTCCTTCTTTCCTAGTGGCAAAGTTGGAGATCGATAGTCGCAATGCTTTTGTCTCGTCTGGCTGAGTTGAGTAACAGGTAAATTGGTGTCCAAGTATTTGCCAAAGATGCGAGAGAATTGGAGATGATGAGCCACTTCTCGGTTGATCGTGTAATGAAAAGCCAAAGTCAAAAGAGTAGATTGAGATTCGATGGCAGCGGAAGAGAACCAGATTCAAGAATCGAAACACGACACTAAAACACCTGTGACGTGAAAGGATAGAAAGAGGATCAGCTGTCGACTTTCAAGAAAGGGACGATGCAGATGGTGTCTCGAATGTGGAGGGAGAGTGGGCGGGTTGATGCTAAAGGGGACCCTTGACCAAACTAAAGGCCTTTGAGATACAGGCTTATCCTGGAGCCCGACCCTGGTTGGTGTTGGTGTTGGTGCTGGTGTTGGTGCTGGTGTTGGTGCCCTTGTTCAT